TCAGGCTGAGGCCATACAGGATACCGGTCAGGTTGTTGTTGTTGAACTGTGCTGACCAAGCAGCATTCCAGCCTGTTCCCCAGAGGAAATGTCAACTACCAGTGATTCATTCTCATGGATGAATGAGCTCTGTGAATATATGGGTAATATACATTTGGGTAAATATTTATATAATACAAATTGTGCTGTTACAGGTCAGAGCTCACCGGTCTATAGTTGTTGTTGGATGGAAATGGCCTTCTTGAAGATAGGACTCATAAGCCAGTTTCCATTCACTGGGGATTCGTTCCTCAGGCATTTACAGAACAGGATCTTTAGGGATGCAGCAAGCTCGTTGCACAACTTTCTTAACACTCTGGGTTGCGTACGGTGTAACTACCATCTTCAAGCCTCAGGTCTGATACTGCGTACTTTCGGCGTTTAATTTCGACTTTGCATAGCGTTAAGCGTGGTTTGGATTGAGACTCGCATAACCTGCTGGAACTCTCTGCATGCCCTTCTCCTCTAACTTTGAGTTGGTTGGGATATCGCAACATCCCCAGTCCTGCTCATCGTTTGACCTCACCACGCCTTGAATTTCTGGGTTTTCTTCTTGCTTTGTTAAACTTCCACATTGGTTCGTAAGTAGGGTTCCTTGTATTCCGGCACTGGGTTTGGTGTTGGTATATATTTCTGCGATCAAATGGTTAGCTGTATTAAGCTCTTGGGAAAGTACCACGCAGTCTTTCCTTTGCTGAAACATGGCTGTATTACATCTTTTCATACAGGGCAATACTGTATATTTTGTTTGGCAAATTTTTAGATAAAGTATTGGGGTTATTTTTATAAAAAAATGTTGTCTAACAAATTAGAGCTGTTTTTGTTGACAATGTTATCTTTATTTCTTAATTTATATAGTAAGGTAGATTTGTCATTGTATCATATCAAAATATTTGGTTAAGGATATCTTGTTGGAAATATATCAGAGAATTTCTAAGGATAATTATGGTATCAAATTCTTCTCCTATGCAATTATTTAAGCTTGGTGAGAGGAGAGGAAACTGATGTGCGGCCCTCCTCCTGCTCGGTTGCTCTACATCTCACCCCATCATACACACACACAAAACACATTTACCACATCATCACCACATACACTACTTTCGACGGACCGTACCAATACACTGAAGTTCACGCGGATATGTGGGTTTTCCTCTTACTGCTCCGGCGTCACTTCGCCAGCTAATAAATTTGACAGGCTGGAGGCTACAGTCGGTCGGTGGGCTGGCAACATGGTTGCGATGTAGTGAGAGCTTGGCAAATTGTTCCTGAAGCGTACCATATTGAGGATATCAACTCTTTATGCCTTCGTTCACGTGGGCGCGGAAATTTTCTCTGCCGGGGTAATTCGCCGGTCATGCACCGGGGATGTTCGGTCCCAGCTGATCCGGGAGCTGGGTGGATATTGCCAGGCCATCGTGCCACTTTCTGCTACTCGGCGCGTGTGTGCCGCATGCGCTCACCCGCAAAGAAACTCTTATCAATCCACTTTTCGAGTTGGTACTTCGGCGAAGCGCGGCACCACTAATTCCAGGGCCAGCTGCTGTCACGGGGTTGTGAACTTCCCCACTGATTAGAAATGCGCCGATGACCTTATGCTTTGGCCAGCGGGCCAGGTACCGGCCGTCTGGCAATGCCTCCTTTAGGGTTTAGCACACTATCAGTGCTCTTGTCAGATGCCACTACCAGTCAAGTAGAGGCCTGTCATGGCCACCACAGGCGTTGCTGGATTCAGTAATGTCTTGGGCGGTGGATGGATTCACCTCCTGGACTGAAGTTGCGGTGTGATGTAGCGTGGATTTTCAAAGGGTTACATTGCAGTACATGTATGCAAGCACTACCACTTTTTCCCGGAAGCCTGTGAGATCACACCAGCTGACTTGCCCTGGATCACCTGGATCAAAAGACTTAGGCGGCAGAGGTCGGCGCTTTTATCTTAATGACCACAACGGCTAGGGTCCGCTTTGCAGCAAATTATCGTGAAATATGCACTTCAAAGGTCCACTACTATGAAGTTGCAACACCTTAAGCATACCAAGCAGCATTAAGTGGTTGTGGTAGGCTTAAGAACTCTGTGTTAAACAATAGGACACCTCCTTTCCTTTGCCATCTCACTTTAATGGTGGCGTGGCTAGTCGAGCGACCATTTTAGGGCTTATTGTACGGGCGGCTCCCGGTTTGCCACAGGAGTCCCTGCTTACCTGCCAGCCTCGCTTTTCCACTGACTTGGTTTGGGAAGAAGGTTTGGAAGTAGCAAAACGTCTGGAGATGGAGCTGAAGTTTGGCGCTCCACCACCCCCGTTGGCTTACCAGTGAAACTCTACAGGGGTTCTCCTGGAACTCTCTAAAATCCTTGCTCCATGTCAGTGCTTCTCTCAGCCGGCAAGATGCCCAGCTTCTGGAAGACCTGTGCAGTGTCACCAGTGCCCAAGTCAACCAGCCACAATCCTTAAATGGAGCTCGAGCCCATTTGCAATCACCTCAATGCGCAGCAATCTTTGAACGTTTTGTGCTTGGCTGGGGTTTTATGCTGATATTAGGTGCTTGCGAGCCTCAACAATTTGGCAGTATGAAAAGCTTCCTCACTAATCGCTTTTATTATTTTGTCAGCTTTCGACTATATATACTACATCTGGAAAAGGAAGAAAGCGTTATCTGTGGCTGTGCGCCTTAATTGGCTTCACCGAAGGCGCGGGACCTGATGTGAACCTGAATTTTGATCAACAAAGGCTATGAGTCCGGTTTTTGAAGAAGTCTTTATACAATACTGAACTGCTTGGTGACGGAGCAAATATGTAACTTGAGGCTGTATCCACTCAGTCATTCACCTGGCCTCTAAGGCACCAAGGATAGGACGTAGTAGCTTCCATTATGCTTATCAATGATGCCTAAAGAGCTTCTCTATGTGAGTATTGGGGCGACTCCCATTGGATCGGTGCCAAGCTACCAACTACGGCCTCTAGTATTTACTGAACAGTCTCCAAATTGGGCCACCAACAACCACGTCACCATCAACCATACCAAGACCATGGTTATGCATGTCACCTCTCCTCCGATGTTGTACCACCCCCTTCCATTACTTTAGGCCCCAACACACTCCAGGTTGTAGACTCCACTAAGCTCTTTGGCATCACTAGAGATAACAAACTAAATTGGAAAACACACGTCAGTGAAATTGTCAAATCCTCCAGTTTCCGTCTCCACCTCTTCCGCCGACTCAAGTTCCTTGGAGTTCCTGCGCCCGACCTCCTCAGTGTTTACTCAACATTCATACTTCCCAAGCTCACCTATGCCTCCCCTGCCTGGTCTTCCTCCCTTTATGCCACACAACATAAACACCTTGAAAAAGTGCAAAAGAGGGCATGTATGATTATTCTCTTCCCTTTCTACTCCACATATCAAGAAGCGTTCAACACACTGACCCTCTCGGCTCTTTCTGACCATCACCACGACCTCATCTGCAAATGTGGTGAGAAGCTTCTGCATCATCCTCGACACCGGCTCCTACTACCACCTGATATCCCTTGTCTGCAAAATGCTGTTCGACACCACAACTGCATCCAGCCCACACGAGCACTTATTGATCGCTATAAGAACAGTCCAGTGCCAGCTATTGTAAAAATTAATTATCAACAACTCGTAATCAACCAGTATATTCACTCCCAATCAATCTTACCTTTTTGCACTCTTACTATGTTGAAATGCCTTGGAGTATAACCTCCCCACCTTGTTATTCTATATATCATATTTGTATCACTTATGTTACTTGTACAGGTATATTATTTGTCAATTGAGAGACCCATTCCCCAATAATGTAACTGTATATTTTCAGTCTTCCGGCTGCCATGCTCTTTCAATAAACCGTTATTTATTATTATTACTCACCAACATCACACGCACACTCTCCAACAGCCCCCCCCCCACACTCCAACATGGGAATTAAGACAGCAAGCATGAGGAGTGAGTCTTATTGTATGACAAATTTGCTGTGTTTGACTGCTTAGTAGCGAGTTAAATATCAGCTGTTGAGGAGCGCTTGATAACACCGGTGCATGTTACCGATAAATCTCTGGAATCACCCACACCTTTCTGCTTTCTCACTCCATATTTTAAAATGTTATATAACATAAAGTTGATGGGATACAACTTTGCTCATTTATACTTATACTTATCACAATCTCCCTAAAAAATACTTTAGGTTTCGTGTTTATTCAAGATATCTTCAGGTTATGAGACCTACTAATCCCACACCCAAGAAAGGGTGACCTGACTTTCCATCAGAAGGTCAATAATATGAGACCCACCAATCCTCCACATCTCCATGGGAGTGGAAAATACCAGTCTTTGGCCGTGTCATACAATTTTAAATTTTAAAATTAACATGTACAGGTACTTATTTGAAAAAAAAAAAAAATTAAGATATACTATTCTGGATTATTATAGTAAAGAAATGGAGTTTCTAACTTAATTAGAACTGCATTTACGGACTCCAGTAGTTTAGACTCAGGAAAACATCCCCAGCACCCAGAAACCTTCTGGGGAAGTGGGTTAGTTTCTGTTTGTGCAAGATGTCTAGTTTAGACACCCGGAAACTTTTCCCAGGAACCAGAAAAGATTGCGGGGATAAGGAATTTTTCCAGGCATGAGAAAGTCGTCTGGTTAGCCGGAAATCTCTCATCCGCGGAAGTGCTCTGTACCAATTGTTCCGGATGAAGGGGATATCACTTATGTTATGCAGGTGCACATTTGGCAATCCAAAAGACAAGAGTTCTCTCCTGTGATCAGACTTTATTTGCTGTCATTGTTTTATGTATAGGGCCTTAATAACATTAATCCTTTTTACCAGGGAACTGTCACTCCACATATATAACATAACAGATAGAAAATGTTTAATAAAGTACTGGTATATATATAATGACAATCCAATATAATATGATGTATATGCTCTCCAAATAAACACATAATATACTAAAGAATTTATTAAATTTTTAGTCATACATACTAATTTAAACAAAGTTCAAATCCTTCATTTTACAACAAGTTGGCAGAAAATAAAGCTACAAGGTAAAATTTCTTACACCAACTTTCTTGCAACTGATGCAGGAAACTACAGGGCAGGGAATTGGCAAGTCTGGGGATCCAAATACTAGGATGGCTGAATGCCCAACCTTATGCACACCAGCACACATCTGCAGAACAGTACGGCTGCACAACCAGCACGGATCTAAGGACTAGGATGATTTCACTAACCATCACCGTTTATCTTACTAACCCAATTTTGTGAATAAAAAAGTTAGACTGGTCTTTGACTATGATAGTCATCCTCAACAATATTTAATTTTTGTTTAAGTATATGTTGCATTCCACTTTTGACAAGGGGTTTTCACTCGAGGAAAAGATAAGAATTCACATATACAAAATATTTTCTAATTCATTCATAAATTTTTAGTGATATTTTACAGATCAAGCTACAATGATTTTGTTTATGTTAAGGTAACTGAGTACTGTATACAGAAAGTTCACCATTTAAAGTATATCTTAGCACCTTGACCATTATCTCCACAACGTTTACATGCTGTTAATAGTTTCTGCACACATACAACCGAGTTCCATGGAAGGTCCACACTGATCCTACCATAGATCTACATGGTCCTCTAGGTATTTATCCCTAAGTTGAGCTGAACCCCAAACTGGTCAAGTCCTTGACCTAAAGGCTGTTTCCCCATGGGTGAGACTGTAAAAATTATAAAAAAATTTAAATTTGGTCACTATGTTTACAAATAGTTATTTCTTATGTATATGAAGAAGGATCAGAATTCGCCTGTCAAATGAAAAAGATTTAATGTACAAAGAACAAATAAAATAAAAATGGGGGTGTCCCTGACCACCCCACAAACATGGGGTCACAAGTGAGTTAACCCAACCAGGTGAGCAATGCTTGACTATTCAATGAAGTTATGGACACACTGCTTATAATTACTCCCCTCATACACCTCACTGCTGGAGTCAAATATCTGTGACTGAAATTTTTAGAAATCCTTCTCATATGACTATCTGTCACACAATTCATGCACATACAGTAGGCCATAAATAAGTGTGTATGCTCAGATGAAGTACAGTTACAAATTTGCAAGAAAAAGTCAACTTGCATAATCCCAGACAGTGTAAGGCCATAATTGTGTCAAGGTCTCCACCTGGGCACACACACTCAAGCTGAGGTTATGAACACATCAGACATGAGGATGGCTATTGCTAACCAACATTTTTTGGATGAAATAAGGCCCATGTGTCAGTTACCCTCATCACAAGAATACATTACTACATACTTTGTAAATTAATAAACTTATTATTCATAATTAACACAAATGTGAATTGAATATCACTCAAAACTTAAAAAAAAGAGTTTTGCAATGGACTTGATGGAGATGAGGAATAGCAATGAATACACATGAAAGCGTCCCAGTGCTGGTCCTCATTCCTTCATTCCAAACTCAGATTTTTTCCAGCCTCTGATCAGTTAATAACATATGCTGCCATACTTTAATACAGATTGTGAAAATAATTAAGAAAATTTATGGAAATACCTGTATACAAAATTACACTAATGTTTTTTTTTGTATTTTTGCAACTTTCCTAAAAAGAACCAAATTTTTTTTTACTTAATTGTAATAACAACTAGATTTTTCTATTGACATAATAATTAGTAATGTGTCAGTGAAATTCAATGAGTGACAATATACATTATCAATAACACCCTGCTGCATATTCTCATCCATTTTAAGCCAGAATGAAAATGAACCTTTCTAAATTGATGGAAGGCAAGCAGTCTTACACTTACAGTCTACTTAGCCCTTTAGAGGCAGGAGTAGCCATGCTTCAACTTTCTGTGATGTGCACCTTACATCCACACACAACAGTCTACCACTGAGAACACACCCATTAACTAAGGTGATGAATGGTCAGCTGGCCTGGACACCACAACACGTACAGCAAGTCCAGCTATCGTCATCCTGCCCTCAAGATGCACTCTTTGGGTTACTTTTAGCTGCAATCCAGTCACTGATCTCCTTCTTCAGTGCTTCAGCTGCAAGAGAAAAATGTAAGATGAGTTTCTATTATTTACTTTAAATGCCCAACACTGAAAAGATTCTATTCCTGAGTTTCCTTTGAACTTTACAGAAAAAAGTTAACTGATCAATAAACTGAAAAAGGTGGCCACTGATGAGTCTCACAAGAAATTGACTTGATCACCAAACCTTCATGTTGACACCACCGCAATATAGAAGTCACAACTCATTCTCGCATTCTAAAAGATTTGCCACATGAGACAAAACTGTCGATTTCTATGAATATGATACATGAACCAACCACAGCTTAATTTTTCACACTGACTATACCTTTCTATTTATATTAAATATCTCCCACCTACTGTATGTATCTCTCCCACTTGTGTGTGTGTGTGTGTGTGTGGTGCATCAATGGACAGAGAAACCTCAAAGAAGGGGAGGGGGATTAATAGGGAGAGTAATAAAGTAGAATCCCAGTTATCCGGCACCAATGGGGATTGAGAAGTGCTGGATAAAAAGGTTTTCCGGTTACAGTAGTTGAAACTCACTCTTAAGATCCCCCAATAAATTCTACAATGCACAGTAGTACAGGCTGACCCAACAAGTTCATGTGTTAGAAAAGTGGACTTCTTTAATACTTATTCCACTCAATATAAACGACGTGGCTCAGAAAATATAATATAAACTATAAAATAAGAAAAACGAAGAGCATGGGTGAATAAGTGTGGGAACTGAACGTGAATGGAGATGGTGGTGGGCTACTGCGTTGTTGACTCGCCAGCCCAGCCACTGTGCTTTTTATTACTTGTAATGAAACTAAAAAAGTTGTTGAAAAATCATTAAAATACTTTAATGTGGCTTAGAAATAAAGAAAATATACAGTAGCGTCTCATTTCAGATGGGTCTCGCGTGCGAGGTTATCGCTTATGCGGTGAATACAGTTCTAGCTTACACGGAAAGCCATGGGTAGAGCGGGTAGCAGGATAGCATTAATTTTGTTTATTTAGGTTAATTCAACAAACAAAATGTGCTCTGGGTTACTTGAATTATAAAATAATCTGGTGCTTGAGAGATGGTGAGTGCTGGCAACATTGTTAGGGAGAGAGGGAATGATACTGCTCTGTGCTGTAAACAAGAGACTGCAATAACTCGTCTGGGATTCAGTGTTGGATTTTTTGGGTGAAATTTAATTATTTTTCGATGTTTTATTAACCTGGCACCAAATGAACCTAAATAATATAGGAATTATTGTGAAATTGCATGCCGTCGTTATAAAGGGATTGTGGGCTGCCGAGCAGGAGGTGGTGAGTTGTCATTCCCCCCTCCCTCCTCCGCCACCCATCACCGACACACCCAAACATAGTTTTACATCTTAATATAACTTATATTTGATTCATATATTTCATTCATACTCATTCTGAATTTATAATGTTTATTAAAAAAAAAAGAAAAAAAAAAAGAATTAATGAGGGTACAGTGTACTGTAATTACTTCTGTCTTTATTCAAGACATCAACAAACATTCTTGAGACCCACTAATACCCCCACCCCAACAATGGGTGACCTGACAATGCATCAGGTCAGTAATACAAGATTACTAATCCCTCCAACCCACCTTCACCGCAAATGAGAGAAGCAAAAATAAATTGAATATATGGAATTTCCAGATTATCTGGCAAGTTGCCAGGATCAGTACAGTATGGTATCTGGACAATTGTCCGAAGACAATTAATTGTCCAAATACCATACTGTACTGATCCTGGCAACTTGCCAGATAGTCTTGAAATTCCATTTATTCATTTATTTATGCAAAATCCATAAGTTTGAGAGCCAACTATCACATTTTTTTTTATCCAGTTGACTTCAGTCAAACCAATGTAAAGGTTGTCCCCAGCATTGCCTTTGGATGATATCTATGACAAATTTGGAATGTTCCCTTCAAAGTAAGAAAGACATTAGCATAGCCTCATCAAGTTCCTCAAAAAGTGCAGGGAAGAGAATGAGGAAGGTGCTCACCCTGGAAAAAAGTAGACAGTACACAATAGATTAAGCATTTTATGGCCTAAAGCAGAAATTTGTTGACAGTTTAACACTGGAGAAACAACACCAGGGGTAGGACTAGGAACAACTCACACCAACACATGACCCTCCCCTTTGGAAGCACCTCAGGTCCCACCAATGAACCCTGGCAGACATCATCCAAACATTAAGAGGCAGCTGGCAATTGCAGAACTGGTATACAGTGGTCCCTTGGTTAATGAGCACAATTCGTTCCGGAAGGTTGTTTCAATGGGTTTTTGGGTAATTGGTTTCCAGCTCACCGAAAATTACATACAAACGAAAAATAAATGCAGTAAAGTACACTTACTTTGAGGTGTGCATGTAGAAGGCTCCTGGTTGATGATGGGAATTAGAATGGGGGTGGAGGAGAAGGGAGAAGAGAAGGCATTGGGGTGGAAGAGAAGTCACCCCATGCCGCCATTTCACCCATAAAATTTTAGTTCACTTAGTGTAATTCAAGATTATTTTCTTTAAATCAACACTGCATTGCGCTATATATATTATCAATATGTAAAATATGTTTCAAAATGACCAATAATTTGACTGGAAACACAGAAAAAAAAAGCATTTATGTTGAAGAGTCTCAAACAAGATGTTCCTTCCTCCGAACATGTAAACAAACTGACGCCAAGCTTGGTGTGTTGAGTGGCTGTTTGGCGCGCATAAGACTAGTTTCCTGTACTTCAATTATGTTCAATAATTGTTAATATGACTAAAAAATTTAATATAAAACTTTTAAAATGATTGAATAGTACAACCTTCTTGATATTTACTAAAATGGTAAGGAATTTAAGCCCTAGAACCGATTACTGTATTGGCAGACTAATACTACACCTGGTGGGCAAGCGAAAACATGTTGAGGGGCGCTCGCAAGGAATTCGTTAATCGAGGGATTGCTCGTTAACCGAAGTGAAGAATCTTATGGAAGGTAATTCGTTAACCGAAATTTCGTTAACCGAGGGATCACTGTATAGCAGGAAAATGTATGAATACCATTATGTTAAACCTGATCGAGTTTCACCCCATTATGTTAAACCTGATCGAGTTTCACCGGTCTCAAGGAGTAAGTAATAAATTTATACTAACCTGGCAGGAGTTGCTCTTCTGTGAGAGGCTGGCGAGTGAAAGGATCGGTGGGGTCATTGAGTAAATGTCTGACAATTGTGGGTCTGTCCATTACTACACCAGATGGAAGCTCTACAGGATCCTCCATTAACGTTTGCATCAAAGGATCTGAAAAGGAAATCTTATAAGACTACACAAACTATGTTTGGCAATATTAAAAAAAGATCTTTACACAATATTAAATTTATCATGTGGTGATAAGAAGAGTACAGTAAGAAGCATCATGAAGAGGAATGGATGGGAAGAGTTAGAAGAAATGTGGAAAGAGAAGAATCAATCAAAGGAGTGGGAAGGGTGAAGGGAGACAGTACCCTGTATACTAGAAAAGATGAAAAACTGTATGACTAATTTATCAATGTTTACTTCATAAATTCATTTAGTCCGTAGTCATCCAAAATAATGGTTAAGCTGGAAAGACATTCATCCAATTAAACTGAAAAATTATTCTATAATCATCATAAGCTTTTAGAACATTTAAAGGTATAAAAATAGTCACTAAATCCCAAAAGTCAAATAACTACTATATCTAACATTATGAATACAGTACAAAATCTGAGAGGACTGATAGGCCCAATTGAACTCACTCCAAAATACTAAAGTCTATCCTATCAACCAGAAGATTATGTGGGCGTGTAGTGGAGATGAAGTGAATCTGAAGTGGATATGATGTGGATGTTTAGTAGATATGATGTGGATGTTCAGTGGAGATGATGTGGATGTTCAGTGGAGATGATGTGGATGTTTAGTGGAGATGATGTGGATGTGCAGTGGAGATGATGTGGATGTTCAGTGGAGATGATGTGGATGTTTAGTGGAAATTATGTGGATGTTCAGTGGAGATGATGTGGATGTTTAGTGGATATACTGTAATGCGGATGTTTAGTGGAGATAATGTGGATGTTTAATGGATATACTGTAATGAGGATGTTTAGTGGAGATAATGTGGATGTTTAGTGGAGATAATGTGGATGTTTAGTGGATATACTGTAATGTGGATGTTTAGTGGAAATGATGTGGATGTTTAGTGGAAGTTTAATATGGATGTTTAATGGATATGATGTGGATACGCAGTTAAGGTCAAGTAAGTCACATCCATCATCAGTCCCATTGTAATTGTCCATCCTCATAACTTTAAGGTAACATCTCCTTATAGCCGGAATCCTTCTTAGTTGGAACTCTCCAATAGCCGGAATTGAAACTTGCTTGGAATTCTGGGAAAATCCTCTCAATTCCCAGTTTGGGAAAACAAACAAGCAAGCAAGCAAGCAAGCAAGCAAACACACACGCACGAACACACACATATACATATGGGAATTAAGCATCCAGTGAGGGTCTGGTTGTGTGACTGCATGGAGGCAAATTAAAAGATCAGCTGTTGAGCTTATTGCTTGGCAACACTGGTGCATGTTAGCACTCCATCTCTCTAATCACCCACACCTTTCTGCTTTCTCACTCCATATTTTAAAATGTTATGTAATGTAATGTTGAAGGGATACAACTTTGCTCATTTATACTTATACTTATCACAATCTCCCTAAAAATACTTTAGCTTTCGTGTTTATTCAAGACATCTTCAGGTCATGAGACCCACTAATCCCCCACCCAAGAGAGGGTGACTTGACATTCCATCAGATGGTCAGTAATATGAGACCACTAATCTCCCACACTACCTCTACTTGACATTGAGTCAGAACAGGTCAGGTCACCCCGAAAAATACTTTAACTTTCACCTTTATTCAAGACATTTTCAGAATATTATCTCGATTTTCAACCTCGGAAAATTTGTTCCTAAAGCCGGAAATGTTTGGGAAATTCTGGCTTTGGGAATGATTTTCCATGTAAGTTTCAATTCCGGCTATCGGAGATTTCCGGGTTTGAGGGATTCCAGCTAACGGAGATATTACAGTACTCCAATAGACTTCCAGTGTACTTCCATCAATCCCTTCCAAAAGTGCAAAGCAGACTCCTTACACAACTCCCCTTACTGGAGGTGGACTGTACTAACAATTATGGTAATAAGTCAACGATGGCAGACACTAGAGACCTAGGAAAAAGGGTCACGGGCAAAGTCATTACTACTTAAAGATAAATGAGTAATTTTTGCCCTATATAGCAGGAGTCAAGACCAATTCACAAAACTTTTATTAAAAATATTCATCAGGATTATTTTCAGTTTAGCCAATATCTGCACATTCTTTCTTTCATCTAGTACTGTACTCACCCAACCTAGGCAAGATGCAGAATGTGTCTGAGCTCAACTTTTGGCACAAGGTCTCAGGTCAAGGTCAGTATTGCTAACAACTAGCCAAGTGATATTTTGGTGTCACTTTTAATCTTTACTTTCCCTTTAATCTCAGTCAGAATTATATCTTGATCATTTTAACAAATATCTATTCAATCATTTTATTGTAACCTGATTCAGTTTTCTTGTACTCCACAGTTTTGGTTATTATTCAGCATAGCTACTGTATATAATTTTACTTTTCCATCTAATAACTTGAAAACGTCTAAATACCTGAGATTATAGAGTGATGCTCTTGATTCTGAGACCCTGTTTAGCTTAACTGACAACACAACTAGTTGGTTATAAGTTACTGCTTTTGCACGATAACACATTCTCTGAAATTACTTAGTGCCCTAAATGTTTTGAGTACCTCCAACTCCACCTTATAGAAGATCAGGGAACCATGCAAAGGCACCTAGGTGCCATATCCTATTTTTAGAAATATAAAAATCAAATACAATATATATACAGTGGTCCCTCGATTAACGAATGGTTCAATTAAAAAAAATTTGGTTAACGAATTAGCTCCAATAAGGATTTTCAGTTCGATTAACGAACAAAACTTGATTAACGAAAGCCTTAGGAGAAGCACGCTTTGTTGTGCGCATCAGCTGATCTGCTAGTCCGCCAATACAGTAATCAGTTCTATGTTTACATTCGTTTCCAGTGGAGTAAGTATCAAGAGTTGTGTTCTTGAATATTTTTGCATTTTTTATATTAAAATTATTGGTCAATCTAAAATTTAGCCATCCAAGCTCTGTCTACATAAAGTTTTTCAATTAATATTTTTGGCTCGATATATGTAACTTTATTAATTTATTTTTACTCATTTACACGCACACACTGTCCTAAGGGCAAATGTACTAAATGATTACTAAGATTTTTGTCTCGTGCAAACTATAGCAAGTTTATATTCAAATTAATCACTATCTTATAAGAATTCCAGCAATGTAAATTATATTCTCCCCAGTCACTTGTGTGACATTTTATAAGCAAACAAACAAAAACTCAATCTAAAGGACATAAATAAACAAATCAATACTTCACTAGACCTTCGGCGCCAACTGTCAAACATGTCACTGTCACCTCCCTCCCTCCCCTCCACCCTCTCCCTCCCTCTCCCCCATCTTCCCAGCCAGGGTTGGGTGGTTGTATAGGCTTAAAGTTTTTATCTTATATCATAGCACAGACTAAAGTTAGGAGAAAATAATTTGCATTGCTAGAATCCTTGCAAGACAGCGAATAATTTGAATATAAACGTCATATATTTTGCACGAGAGAAAAAATTAATCACCTGTATCACATAACAGCAGTGATTTAAGAGTTCTAATATATATATATATATATATATATATATATATATATATATATATATATATATATATATATATATATATATATATATATATATATATATATATATATATATATATATATATATATATATGTATATATATATATATATATATATATATATATATATATATATATATATATATATATATATATTGATTTAAGGGGGAATTAGGGGATTTTTAGGAGTGTTCTGACTTTGTGTTTTTTGGCTTTACTTTGTATGTACTTTTTCTGTGAGTTGGAACCAATTACCCAATATTCCATTGAAAAAATAGATTCAGTTAACAAAGTTTTCGGTTAACAAACGACTGTGAAACGAATTGTGTTCGTTAACCGAGGGACCACAATTCGTTTCAGTCGTTTGTTACCCGAAAACTTTGTTAACTGAATCTATTATTTCAATGGAATACAGTATTGGGTAATTGGTTCCAACTCACAGAAAAAAGTACATACAAAGTACTGTATACCAGTGATAGAATTAACAAAACATTAAATATAAACTAAATACAGTACTGTACTGTACTGTACTGTACAGTATACTGTACAATAAAAAATAAAAAATAATAGAATACTGTATTTTAACTTACTTTGAGGTGTGTGTTATATTACCGGCAGCTTTGTTTACATATCAAACAGCTGATTGTAGTGGCAGTCGATTATGACATGCCATATTCTTTACAGAGTGCATTGGTTCTAATGACTTCTTTATGTTTCATAATAATTTCTGCACTGTATATTATCAATATGTTAACTAAATTTCAGAATAACCAATAATTTTAATGTAAAAATGCAAAAATATTCAAGAGACCAACAAAATCGTTGTTCACTCCACTGTAAACAAAGTTAAACTGAGAAGCATTGTTGGGTGATTCAATCAGCTGATGGGCGCACAAAAACTGTTCCCTGTACTGTCTATATTATCAATATGTTAACTAAATTTCAGAATGACCAATAATTTTAATAAAAAAAATGCAGAAATATTCAAGAGACCAACTTTCTTGATATTTACTTCACTGGAAACAAATGTAAACAGAACCAATTACTGTATTGACGGACTAGCCGATCAGCTGATGCGCACAATAAAACGTGTTTTTCGTAAGGATTTCGTTAATCGAAGGTTTGTTCGTTAATCGAAGGTTTGTTCGTTAATCGAACTGAAAATCCTTATGGGAGCTAATTCGTTAACCGAAATTTTGTTAATTGAACCGTTTGTTAACTGTATACAGTATATATATATATATCACACACTACTTACCCATAAAGTGTTCAGGTGCATCACTATAATCCTCATCCTTTTTCTTGTTGGCTTGTTGGACATTAAAAGCCTTTTGTCCTATGGATTGAAATTTGGCTACTTCTGAAGTACACTTTATGACAGCTCGCTCTAATTTGGACGCTGCTGTTTCAAATAACTCTATCTTGAAGGATCGCTGAAAAAAAAGAAAAAAGTGCTGTTCAGTATAATAATAATAATAAAAAACCTGCAAACTGAAAATCCTAAAAATATTGTTTGTCATACTGTACTATGCTTCCTTAGCTTCAAATTACTAAATACTGTACAGTACAGGACAGTGGAATTTCTAATAGTGTATCTACATTAGGAGTCACGAGAAAGCTACCCCACTGCTCAGCCATGGCATAATTAGCTCTTGGAGTGTTGGGATGGTAGGAAATGTTCCCTCTAAGCTGCGTGCTTGAATGGCCGTGCAACAGTCCATCAAGTGTAGTGCACATATTTTACAAACCACACACATCTTCAACGATATTGACATTTCTATTTCATTGTAAAAAACAACTTAAGCAGTGCACCTAGTTAGCAATCCCATGATTTTAAATTCTTTCAACTTCTTGTACACAATTCCCCGCGAAGACCACAAACCGTTATGCTCACCTGCCAGAAGCTACAGGAAGCCATAATTGTCAAAAAATGAAGAAAAACCCACCCCATAACCCCTTTACTTCCTACATACGGTATGCCCTTTATTTAAATTTTTTTATAGTTTTATATTATATTTTACATACTTTCTAATCCCCATTAGAGTAAGGTAAAGATTTTTTCACAACTTTTATAGTTTCATTGCTCTTCAGTTTTCTTATTTTATAGATCTCTATTAAATTTTCTTAATTTCTAAACCTCATCATTTTAAAAGAGTAGAATACAGTGATATCCCCATTAGCCGGAACAATTGGTGCAGAGCACTTCTGGGAATGATATATTTCCGGTTAACGGAAAAATGTTCTCAGAAGTTCCAGAAATTGCGCATTACTTCATCTCTTAAATCCAGAAAAATATCCAACCTCCCCGGAATTTTCCAGGAACTGGAAAAATTTTCTCGGGATTTATGGAAAATGCACCTGATTTTCATCTCTCAAACCCAGAAAAAAGCTCCCCCATCCCCAGAATTTTCCCGGTAATGGGAACATTTTCTTGGACTTTTCCAGAAAATGTGCTCCTTGAAAAATCATTCCTAAAGCCGGAATTTACCAAAAAATTCCGGCTTTGGGAACAACTTTCGGAGAAAATTTCTATTCTGGCGATCAGAGAGTTCCGGTTAAGAGGGATTCTGGCTAACGAAGATATTACTATTTGTATGTATATATGTATGTATTTTTTTTTCTTTTACGGGGATTAACCCACCCGGGCACAGGTCACTGACCCACATCGGGGCCTGGAGGGTGAAAATGTAATAGAGGTATACCAATCGTATAAGTCGACTCCCCAACTCCAGCAGCTGTCAAGTGTTGTGAAGGACCAAGTCAACCATCAAAACACATACATAAACAGGTAAACAGTCAAACAAGCCACTCTATACATGACGTCACACACAACGTCATTAGTGACTGACCCAACAACACTGAACTCAGTTGACTTCCAGCTCATTCCACCACAGTCCAAACACAGCCATCAATAACAAAAGGTGTTCAAATAAAACTACTGAGAAAAACTTTATTTCATCCATAATAGAAATAGATCAATTATATTAAAGGTAAATATGAAGGTTGTAATACTCTCACTTACGGTCATGAGTTTAGAGGTCATCATTTTATACCCATCGTATAAGTCGATCCCCTAACTTTGGACACAAAATATTTGGCTTCAAAGGTCGACTTGTACGCCGCCATATACGGTAATAATAATAATAATAATATTATAATAATAATAATATTATAATAATAATAATAATAATAATAATAATAATAATAATAATAATAATAATTCAGATAAGTAAAATTTATAATAAATACAAAAATAAAAATATAATAATAATGATAACAATAATAATAACAACACTGCAATAATAATAATAATAATAATAATAATAATAATAATAATAATAAAGAAACAAAGAAATACAAAAATGAAAAAAGAATAGATCATGAGTGTGAACAATATATGTATGTTCTGTTGTCAAAGTAAGAGAAACAATTGAGACCTGCAATTGTGTGTAAATGAGGCAGAAAGTTAGATGAGCAACCTGGGACTTGGTCACAATTTTCGTGATGCCATATGGCAGCAGGATCTACCATTAGACAAAGTTCTTTTAAAGTTCTACCCTCTTTTTGTTCTGTAGCCCTGATAGCTTGAGCAAATGTCCTTCTCAGGTAATATTCTTTAAATGAAGCAGTAACTCCCTGGTCTATCAGTTGTAAAACAGATGTTGCATTTGGAGGTAGGTACACAACCTTAATGTTTGGATGAATATCACCTAAAACTGAAAATGATTTTTTTTTCCCATGGAGAATAGCCCAACCGGGCACAGGTCATCGACCCACAACGGGGCTGAGGGGGCAAAAATATAAGAGTAAAAAAAATTAAAAATAGAAAAGAAAAAGATTATATTAATCTACCCCACAAAGATGCTGGAAAACCTTCTTTTTGAAGTGAGACAGATTGTATGAGTATGGAAACACAAAAGAAGGCAGAGTATTCCACAGTTTGGCTGTGTGGGGAAAGAAGGATGTACTATAACCGGTTATTCTAGTGTGACCGACAGCCACAGAGAAACTGTGGGCGCCGCAAGCAAGATGAGCCCTCGGCCTTGCAAAATTGTGGCAAAGAGAAAGGGAGGAAAGATTATCAACTAAAGGAGGAGAGTCAATAAGACGAAATATGCCTTTGATTCCACCCTATCTAACAGTTGAACATAAGAAGAGCCACCTCAGATATGAGAGCAGTATTCCAAGTTAGAACGAATGAATCCCATATAAATTTGAAGCAACCGCTCAGGAGTAAAGTAGCTACAGCATCTGTACAGCATTCCCAGCTTTCGAGAGGCAGCTTTAGCAATGTTGTGGATGTGTGGCAGAATAATGCATCCTGGAATGTGATTGGTGGGAGATCATCTAATTTGGAAACTGAGTCTTATTACTATTGAATTTAACCAAGTTTCTACCTCCCCATTCGGAGATGCTGCACAGATCCGCATTGATAAATGAAATGATATCAGCTCTAGAAACAGATCTAGTTTGAGAATTAGGGGGAAGGAAAAAATGTGAAGAAGAGTGAAGAGTAGAATCATCAGCATAAGTCTTCAAAAAGGGCCAATGTCACCCAAGCCTTCTTATCATATTTCCAGATCACTGGAAGTGCTGCCTTCAAAACACCCATCAATGCTCTAGGATCTTCTGACTGGTAGACAAGCAAAGGATTTAGTTTGTCATCCACAGCAGCATTGTCCCCCAGCAGTAAGGTCAGCCTCTCCTTGGCAGCTTTATGTCTGGTGCTGTTTTTTTTCATGTTTTGAAAGGTACGTGTATTCAGGCATCCTTTTCCCAAATAAACCAGTCTCATCAATATTAAGAACTTGCTCAGCACAATAACCTCCTTCTTCAATTATTTTAGCTAAAGCAGCAGGAAATTCACTTGCCGAAACTTCATCAGCACTGGCTGCTTCGCCTTGCACTTTAATGTTATGTAAGTTTGCCCTTGCATTGAACTGGTTAAACCAGCCCCTACGAATAACAAAATCTTCCCCATTACTTTCACCACCACGTTTAGCCTTCAAGTCAGCGTGCAAGCTTCTCACTTTTTCCTGACTCAAGGGTAGACGCCATTGACTTTGATCTTCCACCCATATCGCTAACAATCTTTCCATTTCAGTTAATAATCCACTTCTTTGTTTTGTTATCACAGTTGAGTGCATTGGTGTAGATCCTTTTACATGTTCAAGAATTTTCTGTCTCTCAAAATTGTTCAAACCGTTGACCGACTGAAGCCCAATTCTTTAACAATGACTGAGGGTTTATCTCCTTCATCACAACGTTTAATTACATCAACTTTCATTTCTATTGTAATTGTTTTCTTTTCTTGGATGCACTACAGTACTATCACTTGCATCAGGTTTGTGTTTGGGAACCATGATGAGGACAAAAAAAAAAAGCGTTTACTTGATCACGGTGAGGGTAAAGCGTACCGATACTCCCTCAAGCCACGTGGCTGGGCGCAATGCATCACTCACCGCATGCTGCCCCGCCTCCCAAAAATAATTGACCTAATGGAACTTCCGGGTTTGAGAGATGAAAATCAGGCGCATTTTCTTGAAATTCCGATAAAATTTTTCTGGTACCCATAAAATTTCGGGGATGGGGGATATTTTTCCAGGTTTGAGAGATGATGTAATGAGCAATTTCTGGAACTTCTGAGAACATTCCTCCGTTACCCGGAAAATTCTGGGGACGAGGGATTTTTTCTGACTTTGAGAGTTGTCTCGTTACCCGGAAATCTCTCATTCCCAGAAGTGCTCTGTACCAATTATTCCGGCTAACAGAGATGTCACTGTATATATTTATTTCAGAAATGTAAAGATTATAATTACCACAGTAATCTGTTTTTCCTTACTGGAAACATAAAATCACTATTTGCCTAATAATCATATTTATTTCTTACCCTGGAGGGAGGAGGATGGGGTTGGAGAGGGTGACATGAATAGTAAAAAATATAGCTGCATTTAACTGTTGAACACAGTAAATTTATGTGAGGAATGGGAAACTCTGTAGCTATCACCCACAATGAAAATCAAGAAAGTCAATGTTTGGATCCCATCACATCCATAAATGTCATCCTTACATCACAATAGGTAATAAGGATAACTTGCAGTACCATACTTTAACTTATAAACTGAGAACCTGGATGACAGACCATGTTCTCCTCCACTCTATTAACTCAAGAAACAATCAATGAAGTAAATCAGGATGTGGGCAAAGCTGAAGCAAGAGGAGAAACCCTAGGCAATTAAAGTAGGATGGTACATCAAAACTGCTGAAGCGCTTTCAAGAACATTTGAAGCATTCTGATAGATAAGGAAATGGATAAATTTGACCCAAAGCATTCCTGCACTGGGAAAACTCACTTAATTGTAAGTGAAACAAAATATGGGACATAACATTCTCCAGCATATCAAACAAATTCCCTATCAGACATACTGCCAGG